AACAAAAGACTTTGGATCCGAGACTCCAAAAAGAGTACTCTTTCAAGGACGAAGATGTTCCGGCCATTTTCGAGTCCTTCCTTGAAAATAACAAGATCAAGCTATCACCTATTACAGATCAGGAGGAAACTGATAATACTACAGATCCGAAGTACCATGCGTACCACAGAAGGATCCTTCATCCTACCAAGGCTTGTTTTGCTCTCAAGAATAGCATCCAAACCTTGGTTGAAGCTGGCGTTATAACGCTAAATTGAGCTGAATGGACACTCCAAAGAGTATACGAGTATAAACTACTTCTCGATCCTCCAATCGGTATATGAGGTTAAACTATTTCTTGATACTCTAATAGGTATATGAGTCTAAACTGTTTCCTACAGTTGACGGGAAGTTCCTGGAGAATTTTTATACATAATATTCTTAAGGATAACCCGGTCATGTAACTGAGTACAAAGTCAGACCCAGTTCCACAAAAGAAGCTGAGGGTGGATGATTCATGTAACGGGAAGTTCCCGAAAGAATGCTACATATAATTTTCTTAGGGATAACCCGATCATTACAAACCAAGTGATAAACACTAAAACCCCACTGTGATTTCTGAACACTCTTTTGTTGACAACTCACAGTCTTCCACCACAAAATCCCCCACCGATCAGACTAATTGACGGTGAGACCATCAAAATTCCTTTCGGTTAAATCCATTTAAACTTTCGATGTATCTGTGCACTCAACCTCCTCATTGTTAGAGTCTAGACATGGTACTCGGAATTTTAATGTCTTAATCCTTGACGAATTGTCAAACCCCTTCGTGTTAAGTTCTTATCACTTGACACCAAGAATCCCCATTGAGTAATCGGTACAAGTCAACACTCCCTCTGTGATTTGTACTCCCACTCTCATTGTTTACCTGGTCAAACCTTCTTACAGATAGGACCACAACCAAAATCTCCTCTCGATTCCTCCAATGAACGAGAGGTCCACAAATTGAGCGATCAAACTTTCCTACAGTTAGGATCGTCTCAAACTTCCGCTTGGTCAAACCTTCCTACAGTTAGGGCCAAAATCATAATTCACTCTCGATAAACGAGAAATTCACCTTTACTTCGGTAATCAAACCTTCCGACGGTTAGGATTATCCGAATCTTTTCAATTCTCGGAATGGAGATCCCACTCCTAGTTTCACTCTTTAGATTCTCAAAGTGGAGATCCTACTTTGAGTTTCTTCTGCACTGAATATAGAATATAAAATTCTTCCTCTTCGGTTTCGGAAGATAGAATATAAAATTCTTCCTCTTCTATTTTGGGTTCGTCTTTGCCCCAAGAGAAGACATAATATTTTAACATTATAACTTCAAAATCCGTGCCTTACACGCGCGGGGAATTTTATCCCGAAGCCTAAGTAGGGATAAGTCGGTGCCTAATACGCGTTGCCGGTTAGTCTTTGACCGTAAAAAGGACAAAAACTCACATATTCGACATTATGGCGGGTCGTTATTAATAACGCTAAAATCTGCGCCTTACACGCGCGGGAAACTTTATCTCGACTCCTAAACAGAGATAAAGCCTACGCCTAACACGCGTTGCTGGTTTAGTCTTTCACCGATTGAAGAAGACACCAGAATCCAGTCTGGGACATTTTATCCTGAAGCCTAAGTAGGGATAAGTCAGCGCTTAACCTGTGCTGCTGGGTGGTTCGTTCCCATAAAAACGACCGAATCTATGTATTCAATATCATAGCACTAAAAAAGTTAACTCTTTTAGCACAACGTTACGTGCAGAACGGATTTAAACAATCTGCATGCTAGCCCGACTCAAACGGTAGTCGGTAAAGGCTAATCAAACCCGTTGATGGCTGAGAATTTGTCAAAAATTCTATAAATGCGGGGCATTGACGCATCAACTTCATTAGTTGGTCTCGTGACTTGAGCATCCAACAACTTCGGGATAAGATCCATATCTGCAGACGAAACAACTTTAACAGTTGGTCTTGCAGCCCAGAATTTGGGACCTCCATGCTCCAATGCCTTAAGAGCTTAAACTGTGTAGACTCCAACAAACATACGAGTATAAACCGTGTTAACACTGGTCAACACGTTACAGTAAAGATCGATGCCGGTCAACGCATCAGCAATCTCGCCAAAATAAGGTAAACGATGATTTTAGGGAGTTCAATCGGATTCAGATATGAATTTCTGACGAAGATGATCAGTTCAAAGTCAACTCAATGACATGAGCTAAGTTCAGAAACTTACATACCAACTTCAATTCAAGATTTCAACAACGGTCTGACGATAAACGCAGCGCTGGAAGAACTTTATCTATTCGACAAAACACTGAATAGACTAAAGGCTGAAGAAGTCAAGAATTGAAGCAGTTCACAGGTCCCTCTATGAAATTGAGGAAAAAGCCTATCTTACCCAAAGCCTTCCAGACTCTTCTATAAAATAAATGAGTCTGAAATGCTTTGGAGGGGTATCTGCAGGCGTCTAAAAATTCCTATAGGTGTATGTACACAACTCGAGACGGAGAGAAGACAACGAACGTTGTTATCCGAGTCTAAGAGGATTATCTGTCGTTAACAAGCGCATGAAGCGAAACGACGAACCAAGTGGCCCGCGCGCGTCGGTCAACACGTGCGCGTCAATCAGTTCGTGTGCGTCGGTCAACACGCGCTCGTTAATCAGTTCTCGCACGTCAGTCAACACGTGCGCGTCAATTAGTTCGTGTGCGTCGGTCAGCGCGTGCTCGTCAATCAGCTCGCGCACGTCGGTCAACACGCGCGCGTCAATAAGTTCGTGCGTGTCGGTCAACATGCGCGTATCAATCAACACGCGCACGTCAACCAACACGCGCATGTCAACCAACGCGCATTCGACGGTCAGTCCCGTAACAAAGCGTGCAAGTCAGCCAAATACGCGAAACGGGAGAAATTACAAGTCCCAGAAAGTCGGAAAGTCGGAAAGTCAGAAGAACACACAGAAAACCGGATTCCCCACGCTCGCGCGGGTCGGACGAATCCGACCCGCACCTCTAACACGCGTGAGTCGGACTCAACCGACCCACGCGCCGCGCGGGTCAGATGAATCCGACCCGCGCCGACGCGGGTCGAATCCGACAGACCCCCCCCGGTGCTGTTTCGACCCCCGGACACGTTTTTCGGTTTTAAAGCGATTTTTTCGCACGTCTTATCTGTTCTAGGGGTTCCTAACTGACTTAATCTCATCTACAACCGTGGTTAGGCCGTTATCAACTGAAGATAAAGCCAAATTCATCGTTCTCATCCGAAAACCCCCCAACCGAAGCCTATAAATACAGGCCTAGGGGCTCATTTCACAGTGGCAGATTTATTATCAAGACGAGGAGGTGCTGTCGAACTCCAGAGCCAAGAGCTACGAATTTCAGCGAGGGCTAGCGAGATCCCGGCAAACTCCAGCATAAAGAAGGAGCTATTCGAAGGATCTGAAGCCCGATTCCACCGTTCCTTGATATTAGGCTTAGTTTTAATCTCGAGAAGAGTACTGATTTCTCTTGGTCGATCTCAGTACTTCAAATCAAATACTTCCTCAGCGAAGGTGAAGCCCTGCTAAATTTTCCATCAACCGGATCCAGATCAAAGGTGGTCCACGGATATTGACGTCCCCGGTACAGGCAAAGATCCCGCATAAGCAGAAGACCGATAAACGATCTTCCTCCGTTTGTTTTGATGAGAGTTGTAATTTTTGTTTTCATTGTGTAAGAGTATTATAAAAAGACTATCTTTTTTCGTTTTCATTGTAACGACTAAAGTTGTAATGAATACCGCAATGAATAAATCAACTTTCGACGCAAATAATGAAAATTTGAGTTAATCTCTTACCCTTTTATCACCTAACCCCACTCAAATTTAGGATACATGTGTGTTAGAAAATCTCCTTTAACGATTTTAATTTGAGAAATCTCCTCAAGATTGAGCTTATTGTAGATAACCCCTCGAAATCCTTATGAACTTTTATCACTTTACACTCTGAAAGTTGACATTGTTAGGTCTAACATGTTGTATGATAAGTAGGTGACTGAGAAAAGACCAAGATACCCCTCAATCATAAAAAAATCTATTTTTTTAGGATAATAGCAAGAGAAGAGAAAGAGGGAAAAAAATCATTATAAGGTAAAAATTATTCATTTTTTTAACATATTGGGTGTTTCTTTATAATTGAATGGATTGGTTTTTAAAAGGGTATTCCAAGTATTTTACATTTAGAAACGATGCAGGGTGGTTTGGTGAGAAAAGTGTGAAAGATTATGGGTTTTGTTCTCTCATTTTTAAAGTTGAGTGAGGTTATCTATAATATGCCAAAATTTTAGGTCATTTTTTTAGATTAAAATAGTTGAGAGGAGTTTTCTAAGACATCCACCATAGTTGAGGGGTTCTTCTAAAATTAACCCCAAAATTATATATGCAAAATTATATCTGTGTTAAATTATATTTAAAATTGATAATTTAGTCTTCCTAATATTATTGACGAGTTTGTTAATTATTTTTATTTATTGATTTTTTATCATGTCTTTGCTGATTTTTATAAAGAGGTGTTTTTGGTTCACTCATGTCTCTTTTTAAAATATCAATAGAACATAAGACACCATAAAAAATATATATTATGTAAAGATTTATAAAATTAAAAAAATTTCCTAGTACAAAAATATTCTCTGTGATCTGAAATAATAACCAAAGTATTTACACAAACCCAAAATCTTTGGATTTTTAAGATGTTTAATGGATATTTTAAAACCCAATGGACTTATCTAATTAACTTGAAATTCTAATGCAAACATCACAAGATTGAGTTTTAAGCGTGAGATTGTTTTAGATTAAATCAACGTGTGAAAGACCTTATATCTCATCTAACTGCGTCATTTTAGTTGTAAGACTCACTAGTGCAAGCACGAGCAAAATACTTGTTAATGTAGTATTAATTGCGATATTCATATACGGATTCCAAATATCTATATCGTGTCCATGATCTCTCACATATATAATCAGTATCCATATTTATATCCTAGCAGATACAAATACACGTACCAGATAAACACTACAATAAAAAGCATATCACTTATTACAATTTCGGAGCTATTTTGATTTGATAAACAATTGGGGGGTATTGATAAGAAAAAGATAGCAAGCTTCACGTAAATAGGTTCTTCAGTCTTCGGCACGCTTCTCTAACGCGCTCCTTGCGGTTGAACGCGCTAACTCGGATGAATCCTTCACCGCCCGGCCCAAACCCACAACCCGGAACCACTATAATATCCGTCTTTTCAAGAATTTCGTTAAACACGTCCCATGATTTTTCTCCCGGAAAATGCACCCAAATATAAGGCGCATTTATTCCACCGTACGTCCTCAGCCCAATCGAACTCAAAGTGTCCATCAAAACCCTCGCGTTCTCTTTGTACACATCAATCACTTGTTGTATAGCCTACAAATGATTAATTAAAAATAATAATAATAATAATAATAGTAAGTATTCTATAAAATTGGAAGTGAGACATGAAGAAATAAAATTGAGGGAAATTACTATCTAACCTTTTGGCCTTCTTTTGATAGGCAAGATAGGCCTCCGGCTTGGGCAATGCTAGACGCACCATTGAAGCACGTGCACATTATACGATCGAAGTCTTCTAACACTGAGAAACCGTTGGAGTATGAGAGTTCCTCAGGTACAACCGTCCACCCTAGACGAACTCCGGTGAACCCCGCGGATTTTGAGAAGGATGATATCTCAATTGCTACCTAGTGATTATTAATTTAAATCAATATCTTTAATCTTTTAATTGGGACGGATCAATATTGGGTAAATTTACATGAAGAAGACTTCGTTTTATTCTGTTTTTCAAGAAATACCCTCAAACGATGAGTTCTACAGAACAATCCTCGTCTGTCTATCGATCATTGATGCAACCATTAGTTTTGGAGTATTCTACGTTACTAATAGAAAAAAACGTTTTTTTAGTTTATGTATGAGCTAAATTTATTCGTTATGTTTTTCTTTTCAACTCTAAAATCTATGTATTTTGAAAAAGTATGACATTTATCCAATTACAGATGTCTGAACAACAAAACTTCATTAAAATGTTAATGGCTTCCTTTAGATGTCATACATTTTTTTTATAACTTTTAAATTTTAAGGGCTTTTTTAAAGAGCATTTCTTATAATTTAACATAAACTACCTCAGTTTGCCTGACGGTTACGAGATGACGGCTTATTTTCGTAAATGATCTATCAAAAGATAGAATGATGGGCTGCACATCTGTTGATGTGACTAATAAGATGGACCCCACCACTGGTCTATCTCCCGATAGCTTACCGAGCAAAATGAGCCGACACATTATACTCGGTTTTTTCCGAACTTTCTACGCAGTTTTGAAAAAACCCAACATTATTATAATTACCTCTTTGGATCCAGGAATCTCATAGATGGACCGTGGACTATCGTCCGATATGAAAGTAGCGTAAGAGGAGTCATAGACGATAATGGATCCATTTCGCTTAGCGTGTTCGACTAGTTTCTCCAGCTGCTCCCTAGAGGCAGCATGGCCGGTAGGATTGTTCGGCGAGCAGAAGAAGATTACATCGGTTGCCGCAACAGTCGATAGATCCTTTGGGAAAAAGAGGTTCTCAGGCGAACACTTCATGTACTCAATTCCTCCATATTTGTTGACGGTGTTATCAATGTAATATCCTGTTTGGCCCGTTATTATGCTCGAATCTACATAAGCCTGCATCCAAGTTGAGAAATAATCTTTTTATTTTATTATATGTGATAGATATTTGACAATATGAGACTTTTTAAGTATGTTGAATGTATGTTACGGGAAACGTTGGATCCTGGACTGCAACTGTCATGCTAGACCCGAACATCAACTGCAAAAAAAAATAAATAAATAAATAAAATGCAGTGAAAATGCGTGATTTAAGATACAGTGCTGCCTTGCGCAGCTCCTGGTGATTGGATGGAGGCAAATTTGATTGATCAATTAAAATTTGAGCTTAATGTTGATTTTTTTAATCTCAATGGTTAGTTTGGTTGAGGGTTTAACTAATTACAAATGGAATAAATTGCTACCTTGTTGCCTTGCTCAGCGCCGTACCCACGGTATCCTTCAACAGTTGACAATGCAAGTGAATACTGCATTCATAGCCGATGCTCATAGATAGAGAGAGATATAGCTAAACCGTTCGTTTCCGAGAAATAATCCGTCACGTATCCGTTAGGTACGAATACGTTATTCATCTATAACCGATAGGATATGGTTACGGATATGGTTTTGTAGTGAAATATCCGTATCCGTATCCGAAATATCCGAATACATACTAGTCATACTCTTACTATAGTTTCGATTCTTAGATTATGGATTTGTGGTTAATTTTGATGATCAAAATATCTAATCTTAACTTTTCAATTATAATGGACATATTAATTACAAACTCTTTTGTATCACATGAACTATGTTTTTCTCAATACTAACTAGTTTTCTCATATCTGTTTTGTATCTGCATGCATATCCGCTTATATATCCGCATGTATATCCGTAACCGTATCCGATTTTAGCGGATATGGTTATAATTTTTTCTTACCGAGGTATATCTGTATCCGTATCCGTATCCATATCCGAGATGGGTAAGCGGATATGGATATGATAAGCATCATATCCGAGCCGTATCCGGACCGAATGCACCCCTACTCATTAGCCTTCAGAATATGCTGGAGGACTTTCTGTTTTTATTTTTTATTATTTTTTCAAGTTCACGTTTCTATTAGGTTCAAAAATAAATGGTTATACTTCGGGATTATCAAAATCGATGCTCAATTCTTCTCACCTAAGATCAAAATAACTTCGATGTGAGCATATATTGAAAGAAGATAATTCATATTGATAATCATGTTCATTCGTGGATTACATGTCTGTTGGTATCCTCATTCAAAATCTTGAGCTTATAAATATTTTATCTAACGTAAATTAGAAGGGTATATTTGTAAAATTCTGATACATAGCGGAATAAGATGTTAACTGCAATATATATGTAAATTATGGAATTCTCCATCTCAAATGTTTAGCTTCTATTTTATTTGGGTTGCTTGCAATGTCTTATGTTACGTTAAGGTGTATTTGGTGACTCTCTCACTATTCAAAACAGTGGAGCTAATCTAGTTAATGAGGTAAATTGTTGTTTGGGTAAAATTGGACCAACATCAAATTTGATTTTTTTTTAGTTCAAATTGAGGCCCTTATCCGTGCTAGGATTGAACCACCCCCTACTTGGATCAAAGCTAACCTAATTAAGATATTAACCAAGTTAGTGGAGAGTAGCCAAGCGCACCCTTGGAGTATAAAAAAAAGACCCGCAAAAGTTATTGCTAAATAGATTCAACCCCCATGAAGAATAACATATACGAAGTCATATTTTAGAGAAAAAATTATGTAGAACTACTCTTAAAGTAGTGTGAGGTTATTTGAACTCTTTAAACAATGTAATGTTATTTGAACTCTTCAAATAGTATGAGGCAGTAATATCACTAATAAAAAAGAACTTGTTGAGCTTTGCTACAGAAAAATGATAGTCAGCTTATTATGTAAGAGGAGGGGGACACCTCACATGTATGTCCTCCTGTTGGTCCCATGTTTTGGGTCCTTAAGGAATTTTTCAAATACAAAAGATTACAAGAAACTAGCAGCTACTTAAGCTAGTCTTCGGGGCTATGTGGCAAACATACTAGGGTTTTGCCTGATTAGACTACCAAAATTCTTTAGACATTGCGTTTGTTTACCTTTCAATATTAACCAAGAAAAAAGAGAGTACATATATCTTTTATAACTCGAAAGTTACGTAGATTAATGAGAGCACGTGCTTTTGGTTTGGATTCTTCCCCCCTGTGCTGACCATGTTTTTTAAAAGACTCGAGCATGATCTTTGGTTTAAAGATGTGAAAAAAGTAAAAATTTTGTTGTCGCTTGACCATGGGATTCCTATTGGGATGAGACTTACTTGTTCATAGGGGTATAATTAGTCCATTTTAAAAACTATATTACGCTCAACTAATTTACTTGATCTGTTCATTTTTATCTATATATTTTGGATGATATATAAATAAAAAAATTTAGGCATATTAAGTTATAGTCACTCATGCATCAGGTAATTATAAAATTAACAGTTTACAGCATTACAACCAAAGGGACATGAAAATAAATATGTGTTAGAAGTATGAAACATCTTGATTTTTTTTATTTATAGATGTTTTAAGGCATTTAGATCATTATGAATGGAATGGGTCATCTATTAGATTAGTCTAACTCATGCATCAAGAGGTCTCTTTTAATTTGTTGTATTGTTAGGAAATCGTTAACTTTTTGGACTACTAGCTAGATGCATGTGTAGTATATACTTGAACACATAGGTACCGTTTGGCAAAGGGTTAAGTGAGGGGTTAAGGAGACTTAACCCCTTCTTAACCTGCCAAACACAACAAATCTATATAAGGGTTAAAGTGAGTTAACCCTCCATAATTTGTCAAACATAAAAAATATAGAAGGGTTAAGTTAACCCCTCTAGAGGGGTTAAAATGAGTTAACCCCTCAAAATGAGGGGTTTACTAATACTCCTATTTAGATGGAATAAGAGTTAACCCTTCTAATTATAAAGAAAATAGTCAAAATCATTGTTATTCCCAAACACTAAAACTGATCATAAGGGCTAAAATAAAACTTATTTAACGGATTAATAATTTAGTCCTTCGAATTATCAAATGGGCTAAGTACATTAATCCTTCCATTTAACCCATCTTCATTAACCCTTTGCCAAACGGGGCCATAAAGTTTTCTATTTGTAGACCTTTTGAGACATGTAGATCAAGATGCACGGAGTCGATCATCTAATTTCATCGCATAATATACACTTTTTTTACAAGTGGGCATAACTAGGCTAGTTATGCCCTAGGATCTAAGCTACTTATCTTCTTGGAACAAATGAAACATCCCCTTTTCGTAATCATTCTCTATGGTAACTCAAATATCTCTTCCCTGAAACATTAGTTGCTCATGCAAATATCTAATTTCAACATGAAAATAGGAAAGAAAAATTAAAAACGAAAGAAGAAAACATAAAATCGTGGAGACGCGAAGTTAGAGAATTGGTAAATCTTAACTCATATTTTTACTATACTCATCCTTCAGTTAAAAAATAAAATATCCAAGAAGTACCTCAGCCATAGCGGACGCTATACTGTTCGGTATGGGCTCGGTTGTATCTCCGACTCCCAGGCTTATCACCTTCGCATCAGGGTTCTTCTCTAAGTGCTCATTTTGCCTCTTAGCGATCTAAAAATAACATGATCATCATAAAAATAATTTACACACATCAAATTTTTTATCTTAAATACATAATTTTCATTGGACGATCGAGAAAAATATGACCACCTCAGGGAATAGATATCCATTCCTTAGCTTCTCCATGTTTGGATTCCTAGAGACCTTTGTCCTACGACGAAGCGCCACACTAGGAATTCCATTTAATTGGAATGAACTACAAAAAAAAAAACAAAGTGAGCAAACATGACAAGTTTACATATAATGACTCGAGAGAGTATATCATCATTCCAAGAACTTGATGCGTTACCTTGAGGCCATCATCTTCAGAGGGAAAGTTCAATTCAAAAAAATCAAGTAATATCTATTAATATATAATTACTTCAGCAAAACCTTAATTTGCAGACGTTATAGCAATGGATAACATATATGTCGAAGGAGTGCAACGTATTTATAGAAATTACGTGGGGAGGTTTAGTACATGGTGGACTCGATGTGGGCCCCGACATGAGCTTGAAATCTCTATTAATTCGTCTTTTTGACTATGTTATAATGCAAATCAATCGTCATGAATTCGAGATAACCTCATTCTTCTTGTTTTCTAGACTTGAAAGTGATAGAAGAAATGAGAAAATTACTATTGCTTCTATCCTCCTTCAACCACTTAATTTCATGTATAGTTTTCCACATGAACTTTGACCTTCTTACTCTTTAAATGATTAATGTTGGGAATTTGGCAGTAAAATGGAGCTTAAATAAATAATATGATTTCTTGAAGAACAGGTAAAAATTCAAAGTTCTAGGGGTCTTCGGAAAGGAGGTTGAAAATTAAGAACCATCTCCTCATTCTTCAAACCGATAATATATGATAAAGAAAATTAGTAAAAAAACTCTCTCCGGTCCCTTGAAAAGGCCAATGAGAAATTCAGAAATTGCCCATTCTACACGGATAAATGGAAACCGTAGAGTTATACGTAACGTTTCTTTGGTTCATGCAACAATTTTCCAAGTGGTGTACTTCTGCATTCAAATCAAAATTGCATCTATTCATGCAACAATTTGGACCACGTTCTCAATGAAAGGAGTTAGAACATACATAAACGGTCCATAAAGGGCTAGACTGGCATTCAATGTGATTCATAACAAAAATGTGCTCTAGTAGTTTACAAGAAGTATACCAAGATCATAATAAATCATAACTGTTGAAAAATTCATAATGTGTGATCTCCGTAGAATGAAGACTAGTAGGTCTACTTCGTAATTATGTATCATGGACGTGCGAAGGTTGAAGAAGATCACTAAACTCTAAGATGTGGCCTTAAATTACGCTGGAAATTTATGCACAAGTTGAGACAAAAGTTCAGGTTACCTTTTTGGAAAAAAAAGTTCTCTCTAAGATGAAAAAAGTTTTCTCTAAGAAGGCAAATTAGAGACCATTTCTAGTTCTGGTCTAATTCTACTTCTGTGTCGCGTCATTAATTTCTTGCCAACTGTGAGGGAGTTTCTTAGAAGAAACTATTGAAGAAATTTCTTAAAATATTATTCCAATTAATCTGATTAAGCCATTTAATTTATTGACTATATAATTAATTGTTCACTCATACCAACCATATAATAAGAAATGGATTCTTTAGGCACAACTAATTTCAGGTCGCCAACCTGTTGGGTATTCAAAACAATCAAATCGAACCATTGCCCTTCCGGATCTTGTGTTGAAAGTAGGAAAGTAGGAAAATTCATCACAAATAAAGATCAAAACAGACAGGAATAATAAAGGAGATGAACACACAGATTTAACGAGGCTCGGTAATGTGCTTACGTCCTCGGGAGTCACACCACACGATTCTTTTATTGATTGAAGAAGAAATACAAGCTCTCAAACTAGGGTTTTATCTCACCGAGATCTCTCTGCCAAAAGCTCTCTCTTTTGATGGTTTTCTGATGCTTAACAAACCCTAAAAATATTTGGGTATTTATATCAAACTCAGCCCAAACAGATTTCCTGAACTCATAAGGAATCTGGCAAACAACGTCACGGTCGACCGAACCAAAACCCGAGCAGCTCCAGCCTCTCCCTGACTCCTGTGTACGTTCGCGGCCCCCCGCCGCTGACTCGCGGTCGACCGCCAGGCTGACTGGCAGTTCTCCTGGACTTTTTAGACTGTGTTCTTCATGATTCCAGCTTCGGCTTTAACTTTGGGTCTATACTTTAGACTAACAATCTCCCACTTGGAGACCAAAGTACCATCAGTGAGTTTACCCGAACTCTCCCCTTCTTCGCATGTATCTTCTCCTCCCCGGAAAAATCCTTTCTTCAATCAACAATATCCCGGCAATCTCGCCGATCCTCGTAGTGTGGCTCCGTCTTCGTCTTCTACTCGTGAAGGCTAACTGAAGTTGAGCACAACTCCAGTTTCTCAATGGTGACTGCCTTTGTCAACATGTACGTCGGATTTTGACTCCTCAAAATCTTTATTAAGAGTAACTTTTCGTCTTTAACTAGCGAGCGTATAAAATAATATTTGACATTGATGTGCTTCGTTCTGGTATGATATACTGCATTCTTGGCAAGATGTATAGCGCTCTGACTATCACAATAAAGAACTCCTCTCCCTTGTTTCAGATCCAACTTTTCCAAGCACCCGTTCAACCAGATCATTTCCTTGCTTGCTTCGGTCACCACGACATACTCAACCTCGGTTGTAGATAAAGTCATAATCTTCTGCAGACGGGAGACCCAACTCACTACTATCGACACTAAGGTATAAACATACCTCGTGGTGCTTCGCCTCGTATCATGATTACCGGCGAAGTCCGTATCCACGTATCCCTGCAGCACCAACTCCTTCCTCCTGAAACATAGTGATTTGTTCGTTGTTCCTCTCAAATACTACAATATCCACTTCACGACCTCCCAATGCTGCTTCCCCGGATTGTTTGCAAACATGCTCACAACTCCCACTACATGAGCGATGTTCGCACTCGTGCAAACCATCGCGTACATGAGACTCCCAATGGCCTGTTTGGGTGGAAAATTGTTTGATTCATTGCGGTGTTCATTACAAACTTCAGACGTTTACAACGAAAACAAAAATTAGTCTTTTTATAAGACCTTTACACAATAAAAACAAAACAAAAGTACAATTCTCTTCAAACAGCGTAGAGATCGTTTATCGGTCTTCTGCTTGTGTGGGATCTTGGCCTGTAACGGGGACGTTGATATCCGTGGACCACCGTCGATCAGATCTGATTACTAAAAAATTAGGCAGAGCTTCGTCGATTCGCGAAGGAATCAAGAAGCCGTAGCGCTTATCTCGACAACAGCGAGATCATTGCTCTTCTTAAGATCACCACAACGGGGTAATCTTAAGGGACGAACATGAGAACTGCAGATCTGACGAGCTCTTCTTCTTTATGCCGACGAACTCGATCCGATCTCTCCTCCTCTCTCTGAAATTCGTGCACCTTTAATCTTTAGTCTGGCAGGGCTTCGCCAACGCTCGAGAATTCCAAATCTGAAAAAATGAAGGTCCTGGGGCTCCGAGGAATCTAGACGGTTAAAACCGCATAACAACCAAAAGAACCACATTTTAGGGCCTGAGACATCCTCGGGCGTCTCAGCAAGGCTGAGATACCCTTGGGTGTCTCGGCTTGGGCCGAGACACCTCGGGGTGTCTTAGCTTATGCTGAGACAGTCCGTTTTGCGTGCTGTTTTTACATTCACCGTATTTTCCTCTTCCGAACTCGGATTTACATGATTCAAGATGCGTTGGAAAGCCGACGAGAAGATCTACAGGCTCCCATGATTGGATCATCTGTGGAATAAATGAGACACGAAGGGCGTTTCGCCTTTTGTAAGCGACACGAGGCCCATGATTGGATCATCTGTGGAATAAATGAGACACGAAGGGCGTTTCGCCTTTTGTAAGCGACACGAGGCTCCCGGTCAGTTTGTATCCTCGTTATTCTGAAACTCCGTTGCTTCACATAGTTTGTCGATTCACTTCAAGCGTTCGTCGACGTCAATCAAGCTCCCGTGACTTGGATAGTGATGTTCATCGTCTTCTCTTAGCTTAGAGCTGTTCGTGGAGACCTATAGGTAATTTTCGACGCCTACAGATACCCCCTCCAAAGCGTTTCAGTCTCGTTTCTTTTATAGAAGAGGCTGGAATACTTTGGATGTGATTGGTCCAGCCTTCGGTCGGCGTACAGGACCTGTAGTTAGCTTCAATTCTTGACTCCTTCGATTTTTAGTCTATTCGATGTTTTGACGAATAGCTGAAGTTCTTCTGGCGCTGCATTTATCGTCTGGCCGTCGTCGAAGTCTCGAATCTAAAACTGATGAGTTGAGTTTGGCCCGTGTTGTTGAGTTGACTTAGAACTGACTATCTCTGTCACATTAACTTTTTCATTGTAACGTGTTGATTGGCGTCGACCTAGGGTTACGCGTTGACCGGCGTTGACTTTTTCATCGCAACGCGTTGATTGGCGTTGACCTAGGGTTATGCATTGACCGACATTGACTTTTTCATAGCAACGCGTTGATTGGCATTGACCTAGGGTTACGCATTGACTGGCGTTGACCTAGGGTTTCGGATCGTGACGCGTTGATTGGCGTTGACCTAGGGTTACGCGTTGACCGGCGTTGACCTAGGGTTTCGGATCGCGCGCCGTTGACTTTTTCATCGCAACGCGTTGACTAGCGTTGACTTAGGATTACGTGTTGACCGACGTTGACCTAAAGTTTCGGATCGCACGACGTTGACTTTTTCATCGCAACACGTTGACTGGCGTTGACCTAGGATTACGCGTTGACCTAGGATTACGCGTTGACCGGCGTTGACCTAAGGTTTCGGATCGCCCGAGGTTGACACAGTTTATACTTGTACGTTTGCTGGAGTATACACAGTTTAAGCTCTTAAGGTATTGGAGCGTGACGGTCCCAAATGTTGGGGCTACAGGACCAACTATTAAAGTCGATTCATCTGTATGTGTGGATCTTATCCCGAAGTCTGTTGGATGCTCAAGTCATGAGACCAACTAATTAAGCTGATGCGTCAATGACTCGTATTTATAGAATTTTTAGCAAATTCTCAGCCATCAACGGGTTTGATTAGCCTTTACCGACTACCGTTTGAGTCGGACTAGCATGCAGATTGTTTAAATCTATTCTACATATAACGTTGTGCTAAAAGAGTTAACTCTTTTAGTGCTACGATATTGAATACGTAGACTTCGTCTTTGTCACGGAAATAGACTACCCGGCAACGCGTGTTAGGCGTTGACTCATCCTTGCTTAGGATTCAGGATAAAAGTCCCCAGACTCGGATTCTGGTGTCTTCTTCAATCGGTAAAAGACTAAACCGGCAACGCGTGTTAGGCGTTGGCTTATCCCTGCTTAGGCTTCGGGATA